ATTCCTGCTCTTTCTGCTCTCTTTGTTCCCATTGTTGCTGCTCACTGTTAATTCCTTTAACATTTAGCTTTTTCTGACCTTTCCCTCCCCTCCCCAATCTTTTCCCTTTTGTTCTTTGCTTTTCAGCACTCCCTCTGATGTCTCAGACAATGAGCTCCCAGTTCTGTGTTCACACCAGCTTTAAACAAGGGGTGAGGCCAGAAACTCCAGGCTGCTTTCTGAAAGGGAAGATTTTTTTTTTGCCTTCCTTCTCATTCATGGTGTGATTCAGGGCGTGCAGTCCATTGTTAAGAGCTGCCTAATTTAGGGAATTCTTTGGGAACTGCTGCAACATCCTTATTTTCAAGAGAATTGAGTTTACATCTGCCCTGAGTCACAGGAGCTGGGCTTTCCCACCACTTTTACCAGCTGGGTTGTCTCTCCTTCATCCAGTTTCAAGCTAAAACTGCTTGTGACTGGAAAAAATAAGGATGTTTTTGGAAGATCTTGCTCTTACCCACTAGGTGGAAGTGTTGCTCTTTCCAGCCTGCCTCTCTAGCAGCTGTGGTGTGGTTTACCTGGATAAAAACTGAGCCTTTCCCTCATGCCCAGGGACACTTCCCTGCTTCAGAAACCATCCCCCTCGTGTGTGTCCCAGCACAAATCCCCTCCCCAGCAACGTGCTGCGAGTGTCTCAGAGGTGGAAGGTGGATGAAGTCACAGTCAACATGCCCTGAGGTGCCAGATGACTGCCCCAGCTGCTCCACATGGAAGAGTTGTCCTTTTCTTTTCCAAATACTATTTCTTGGAGATTCTCAGCTGTTGACTTTATTCTCAGGCTGTAACTGGACAAATAAGTCATCTGTCCAAGGATAATATTTTCACACTAAAAAAATACCTCAAATCATAGAAGGCTGTGGATCAACAATATCTTCCAGTTCCAGAGCCTGACAGCTTTTTTTTTTTGCTCTTTTTGGAATGGGAGAAAGGTTTTAAGTTAGAAACTTGTGGCCTTGGGTATCAAATGCTCCTTTTTTTTTTATTTAACCCTGCTTTATTTTTTCAACAAAAAGCCAAATATCTTTGTGGAGGAGATAAAATGAGTGGAACACCACCACCTTTTTTCCTTCTGCCCATAGAGTTATAATTATTCTAATGTTATTAAGGATAAATAAGCAAAAAAAAAAGCAGCAGAGAAAGCCAGTGGGAAATTTTACAGTTGCATCAACAGCAGGGAAATTAAAAACCAACAACAACATCCCCTCCTCCTCCTCCTCTTCCTCCTCCTTCCCTGGTTGAGCCCAACAGGTGTGAGCCCCCGTGGGAGCAGGGCTGTGGACAAGCCTCTGGAATCCAGCCCTACTTTTAATTAAACCTAATTTTGAGCAATCTAATGGAGATGGCAGTAAAAAAAGGAGTGTGACCTTAGCAGCCTGAGGACTAAAACCTATTTAGCTGAGTGAGTGATGGCACCAGTGGGAAGGTTTTTTTTGCAGAGCTTTCTCCCCCCAACCCTGCTTAGAGCCTCTGCTGGGTTCATGACCATGAACCTGTTTGCACATGGGGTGGGAGAGGAGTTTTCTTTTGCTGTGTAGCAAATCCAGAGGCAACTTGGCTCCTCCAAATGCTTTATGAGGTTTTTTTTCAGGTTGCTTTCTGTGCTGCTTTGCTGCAGGTGAGTGTTCAAAGGGTTCAGATGCACCAGAGGATTAAACTTGGCCGGTTCTGCTGCTGGACTCAACCCTCTGCTGTGAGGAATCCAACGTTTTTTTGGAGTTAAGGATACTATAAACATCACTATTTTTCCCCCCCCCCTAATTCTGAAGGACAGTAGTTAAGTGCTTCAATTATCTAAATAATCAGAAGATCTCCCAGATGTTTCCAGGAGCAGCGTTTGCTGCGTCATTCCCACACCATCCTGGCTCTGCTGACCTTCTTCTCCTAAACTTTTCCAGGGACACCGAGGTCAGAGAAGCACAAGGGAGTTTGTCCCTGATAATCCTTCCAGCAATCTTCTGACCTGAGGCTTTAGCAGTGGAAAAGGGAAACACTTGACTTCAGAGGCCTAATTACAGTCACTTAACCTCTCATTAAAATGAATGGAGGCGATTTGTCCTGCTCAGGGTGAGAAATTCTTCTAGGGACACAGAGGACAAGGTGTTTTCATCCTTTTTAACGACAAAGGCTTGAAATTTAAGGGGAAAAACATCCTTAGGTCACCTTTTTTTCTTGAAGGATGTCAGCATTTAACACATGAACCCTCCTAGGGCCTTGTGTAGAATCAGTTTTATGCTGAAACAGGGTTAAAATTGTGCAGGAGTAGAGGTTTGATGGCTCCCATCTCTATTATCTCCACAGTGGGCCACACATCTCACTTGTCCTCTCCTCTTAGAATCTGTAGGAAAAAGGGAAGCCTCTGGCCAGACCCCAAATTGAGAATAGCAATGCCTAAAATCACCTTTACTGCCTTTATTTTTCAGGGGTTTTGATGCCACCTCTCTGATTGGCTTTGTTTGGGGATTTTTTCTTCTTATCAAGGCTCAGAAATAAGACCCTGACAAATTCCAGAGTGGTGGCAGTGATATCACCTCACTCCAGTGAAAAAGCTCTTTTACTTCACCACCCAGTCCCAACACAGCCTAAATTACCTGAGCAAAATGACTTTTTATTTTGCCAGTGTCTCTTTTTTTACTGAATTTTCTTTCCCAGTCGATTTTCTCCATCTCTGTGCTTAAAAAACTCTTCCAACCCAAATAATTCTGATGATTTCATTTGGAGGATGCATTTATCATCAAGATTGTCAGATGGTTGGTGGATAGAAGGGATTGTTTTGATGAAGAGAAAGTGGAAGGAGAAGCAGAAGTGCATGAAGGAGTGACAACCCCTCCATTCCTTTGGTGGGCATGTTTTGGAGCTGTTGGCTTATGAGCTTGAACCTCAGTAGCCTCTGGCCTCGTGGGGGAAGATGCAGTGAACATAAATATGCCTGGACAGCCTCAAAGTCTTTCTGTAAGTTGATGCCTTTGGTATTTCTGAAATTTTGAAATACCCAAGATCCAGCCTTCTCCTGCAAACCAGCTACTGAGCATGCACTGCAGCTATTTTTCATACAGCTTTCATCACTCCAGAGTCTTACAGTGCAGTATTACTGCATAGTATTGTTCCTGAAGATTTATCAACCTTCAGTTCTCAGGGTGTAATGTCTTGGCTGGTTCAAATCATGTCTGGCTGACAGCCAAAAGGAGAATTTCTTCACCAAACAAGAGCTGGAAAGAGCTGACTTGGTCCGTGCTGATTTTTGATTTATGAAAAGGCTCCAGATCCAGATTGACATTTTCAACTCCATCTTTTGACTTTCACCAGCCTTGAAATGGGAACTGGGAGCACTTGGAGAAACAGCTGAAAGGTTTGTCTGGTTCACGACAGCCTCTGCGTGTATCTTTTTTGGGTTCTTTTATTTTGTTCTTCCCCCTTTTCTTTTTCAAACAATGACAGTTTTGCAATGCTTGG